GGTGTCAGGTGAGGTGGACACTTGTTGACTTCGCTGCACTTGATTTGGCTGTACTCAGCTACTTGTGCAGCCAATCAATTTAACGAGGAAAGATAGGGCTTTCTAATGAATAAAATTTAACAGTTTCAATTTTTCATTTTTGTTGAAAAATATGAACTTTAATGGAATTATTTTAGTATAAAAATGCATGTATGTATATAAAAATAGAGAAAAAATGAAAAAATGCTATAATGGACTGAAACCATTGTCCTTTGATAGCACATGCAATACAAAAAGAGGAACACTTGATGTTTTGTCAATTTCCACCTGGTTATGGAGTTATAGACAAATTAGAATTGTGTTTGAAATTAATTCATGCCCAAAATTAACACTCAAATGCCAGAGATACAGCATGGAGTAAAAGTCAAGTTGTGTATGAGTTAGGGCTTTCAAATTTTTCTGTGAGCCTTACATAGTGTCTGGGCTTAGTATTGATGAAGTTTTATTTAATTTGCAGACTTTGGTGTCCTGATAGGCCTCAGACCACAGTTACCCCCTTAACTTTACCATGACCCGGAAGTAAAATATGAGAATATAGTGCCCTTGTTTAAATGGGCTGTTCTGCTTGTGCTGATTTTTTCAGGGTGACTTGTGATAGCTTAAATGAAAGGTAAGACATTGTAACTTTATTGCAAAATTTTGTTGGTCCACAATCTACTCCATGGTATTGACACCAGCCTTCCTTGATTTGACCCCCAAGTTCAAGGCTGTCTGGTGTGTTTCTGGCTCGTAACTTCCGGTGACCATTGTTTACAGTGGATACAGCAAAATCGACAGATGTTCAGTGATGACATCATGTAACTGTAAGACCTATTTTCCCCTTTTACACCAAACGGAATTTGGTATACAACAACTATATATTTATTCAACATGGTGCATATTAGACAACAACAGATCGGGGATAAATACATCCGTTAGCATTTAAACATTCATTAAATATGCTAGAAGTAAGGTTTTAAGTTTGATTTTTCTCTCAGGGTTCCCGTATATTATGACCATTATGACCATCAAGTATAACACATCATGTCATCGTATCCCATTTTGCGTAGATCGATGTGTCTCCATGGTGTTAATCACTGGAATGTCTGGTCCAGTGATATGCCCTTCCATAATAGTTATTTCTTCCGCTGGCTGGGAAAGCCGTTTTGAGTCAGTGAGTGAATTTAGTTTTACGCCGCTTTCAGCAATATTCGCCAAACGTCACGGCAGTGGACACCAGAAATGACTGAGTGAGTTTGGTTTACGCCGCTTTTAGCAATATTACAGCAACATCACGGCGGGTCACCAGAAATCGAGCTTCTACACAATGTACCCATGTCGGGAATCAGAACCGGATCTTCAGCGTGACGAGCAGACGCATTAACCATTAGGCTACCCCACCGCCCCACGTCAGTAGGAAGTAACAGCGATATGGATGTCCCTGTCCAATACATTTGTATTTTAATGAGTCCTTACCCACGTGTGAGTCCTTACCTGACAGTGTGAGTGTATTTTGATTAATGTTGAGCCGTTATTGACGGCGAACAAAGCCATTCCCAAAAATTAATGAACTTACTTCGGGCACCCTGACACCATTCCATTTGACGCCACGGTTTGTTCTTTGGAGAATCAGTGAATTTAGTTTTACGCCACGCTCAGCAATATTCCAGCTCATATGGCAGCGGTCTGTAAATAATCGAGGCCTGGACCAAGACAATCCAGTGATCAACAGCCTCTTACGACAAGCATGGGTTACTGAAGATCAATTCTAGCCCGGATCGTCACGGGTCTCTTTTGGAGAGAGACATCATTGGTGCATTGATATATATTAATCTCCCTATATTTTTCGTTCATATTATGAAAAGCCACGGTTTCTGAAACAGAATTAAATTTTTCGACGGAACCTAATACGATTGTTGCCATGTAAATAAGTTTTGAATAGATAAGCATTTAGTTTATCTTAATTTTAGAGCATGCGCCACGCAACACTCACATACCACACTACACTCAACAAGCACACACACACACACGTTTTTTACAAATCCTAGAGTCGACTGGCCACCTGATAGGGATGTCTCACTGACTGCATATGTCAGCCTTCACGATTCAACACTGGCGTGGTGACTGTAGGGTGCATCAATTGTGATTCAGCCGCCATTTTCACTGCTGTTGTTGATATTGATGTTCCAAATGACAACATTTAGCTCGTTTCCATGACGATAGCTCACATGTGTCCTGTTCGACAGCAATACACCTTGACAATGATCTCGCCAGTCTCACTGGCTTGTCCAGTTGCGGGGCGTCATTGCATATATGTTGTAGAAAATAAACCTGACTTGAAAACCTGTGTGTGAGTGAGTATGGTTTGACGCCGCTTTTAGAAATATTTCAGCAATCTCACTGCGGGGAACACAGATAGATATGGGCTTCACATACTGTACCCACGTTGGGAATCGAATCCGTGTCTGAAAGCCAATGTACTCACTCATGAGAATCTTACAGTAGATTGAGTTGTCACAGCGCACGGCATGGAGTATTTCACGGGCGGTTATGTCGATAGGATGCGTTGCTGTTATTTGAAACATACGACTGACCAATTGGAATCGAATAGATGGTACATTCAAGCGATATTCTATGTACATCTGATGGCGAACTCTATAATTTGGAACCGACTGTTTGTTGGTTTGTTTGAGTGCGGCGTTAAACAACCAACCAACCAGCCAACCAATCGTTTGACTCAGTCTTTATCTAGACAAAAGGCACCAGCCCTATGCACAGAGAACTGGTAGTATCTGCTAATACAGTTTATGAAATATAAATATAACAACAAATCATACATCCAAGCTTCACTTTTCAAAGATTGCATCTACAGGTACACTGGACATGAAATAGCAGAAAGTGGCCCACACAAGCAGGTCTGCGTTCTCTTCCCACCTCTGTGGGAAGAGAATGAGTAGATCTGATACAGGTGAAAGGAAGGTCAAATGTACACCTGCCCAAATAATTAGTCTTACTGAGGATCGAATGTATTTGTTGGGATAGTTTTATTACTACCATCAAGAACACATGTTTGCTACCTGTGTTACATTATTACATAATTTTCACAGCATGATTCAGTTTTTTTGAAAGTAAAACATTTCCGTTTTATTCAATATTGCTACCTGTGTTACATTAATACATAATTTTCACAGAATGATTCAGTTTTTGAAGAAGTCAAACATTTTCCGTTTTATACAATATAGCATATTTTATTAACTACTGTATGAATACATTCCAGTCTCAATTCACATGGGCCAAATTTTGGAGTAAAACCATCTCACTCACTCACAATATTGTAATCAAAACACTTGGCTTGAACAATCACCACTAAGTCTTGCCTGCCACCCACCGACTATTTGTTCCCTTACAGCAAACGTTAATCCTGATTTAATTATTCCAAGATTTTTTAAAACGCGGTGTCATATTATAAGTTGTTCACTGGTCACGAGGAGAACATGGGCTGATGTACCCTCAATGTTTGTTTATGTTCCCTGAGCCCGAAGGGCGAGAAGAACATAAACAAACATCAAGAAATCAATATGAGGCCCTGAAAAATGACATTATGTGCGAGGCAAGATAAATCATAATGATTACGAATGGCAGAATTATGAGGGCATGAATTGTAGTTGTTACGTTGTTAAATACAAATAAGACATTGCAAGGTATGCATGGTATTTTTATCTGAATAGGTTCACTTTTGATTCTTTTCAAATATTCATCTGTTATCTATTTGGCTTTCCCAATTTATGTCAACTTTCTATCCTTTTCGAAATGTATAACCCTATGTAAAATATTACAATATAGAGAAGATTGGATGTATAACACATCCAAACATCAAGATGCATACCCTTTTCAAAGAAAACTAAAAGGTTATCATAATCATAACAAATTTCTATAAACAGTCCATCATATGTTTCTCTCTTAAAAGAATACAAATATCTATTAAGCTTAAGATATTGTTGTCAGATACTGATTGGTCAATAGCAAAATATACGAATCCATGTAGGCGGATTTGCCAGGGTGTACGAACCGTACACCCCGTCAAATCTGTCACGTGACACACTACACAGGTTGTACGAATGACCTTGACCTCAGATGCAATGTGGCTGCCAAACGGCTGATCGCTTCGAAATTTTAGAGTTGGCGTATACGATTATGAGCATAAACAGTGTAATAAAAGCTGTTGCCATAACTTCTTAGTTGTTTGTGTTAATACAAATATTAAAAACATAAAAGTTTCTGTATTTCACTTGTTTTGCGTCTCATTCTGCCGAGGATTGAATGATGGTTTTTTAAAGATACGTTCAATAAAAGATATCTTAGGGGTAATAAATTTGTCACACGGTGTTTTGAAAGGTGTACGGAACTGTAAGACCCTTGCAAATTCCATATTTCCTGAGGGCGCAGATTTGACGTACACCCTTTCAAAGGAAAATGACATGGTGATGATACCAGAGGTTCGCGAAAAGCCGTATCCTGCATAAATAAACAAAAGTTGACGACGGACCACCGGATATAACTGTGTCTCAATTACATAAGGTAACATAAAAGTTGACGACGGACCACCGGATATAACTGTGTCTCAATTACATAAGGTAACTTGAAGATATAAACAGCAAACTTATTTCAAGACAAAACAAAATACAATAACAAATAGATACGACAGACAAGCGCGATCATGTGTTTAAGAAACAACGACAGTCAATACAAATTGTATACAAATAACAGCTGTAAATATCTGCAAAGCATGAGCTGTTCTGCTCATAATGAAAACATCATTAAAAGGGTGAAGATATTTTTGTATGACAACAGCATCCCAGCTACATCAGCTGGTAAATAGTCTGAAAATTAGTCTGAAAATAATCGTGACTAGCACAGACAGCTTCGGAAATTCGTTTATCCGGACAATTTCAAGAAAACCACGCGTGTCCGGATAAACGGGGCACGACTGTATTACCAAGCTTGTGACCTTTAGAATCAGGAGGAATGTTGCTAGCTCATCATTCCTCACTTCTCTTTTGTAAAACTGATATCATTCACTACATCATCAACTGTTTTCAGTGATCCATTCGTATACGTTTCACAACTGCTTTGTGGTTAATGCCTGATAAAATCTTTTCCTGTGGCTGATCGAGAATGGTTGAACTCCAGCGTTGATGTTTTATATTAGGAAGTTTGTATCTGTCAACTTTTCAGTAGATTGCGAAACTTCTAAATTCAGATTTCATTCCAACAAAATTATGATGATTCCTTACAATCGTCTAGAAGAGTTCACTTACCCCGCTGAAATCTGTCTGAAATGTTTGTCAATAAATCAAATTATTCGCAAGGTATCTCTTGAACACTTGTTGACTTTGTCTTTATCTTCGAGGGTATGTAAACTTGGAGTTCTCATTGAGTTTCAAGATGAGATGACAAATATGTCATCTTAATCAACACAATCGCATTCCCATGCACAAGAAGATTAGGGAATGAAAAATGAAAAGGCGTATCGGTATTTCAATTCAGAAACATATCATAGTTTTGTTGTTGTATGGATGCAGTCCTCTCTAATATCTGCATGGCGATCGGTTAAATGCCTGCTTAAGATTTTTTCACCCATTTGGAAACGAATGACGCCGCCGATCCGAGCATGTCAGCAGTGCACTCAACTAACCGAGCTGTGCGTGGTTCTCCCAATAAATCTCTAAAGTTCATAGCTGTGCTTTTTAATTTTTCTAAATGGTCAACATCCACTTTCTTTGACTCTTCTGATCCACCACAAGCACCTTCTTCATTAGGGCCCGAACAATCCTGTTCATCAGGACAAAGCAGTTGCAAGGCGTCTTCATCAATCCCCACATCTATACCCACTTCATATGCTGTCATTCCAGCACTATTTAGTAATCCTTTGTCAGACCCAAGTGACAGCATTAGCGAAATATGTTCAAATGCAAACTCTCCATGATTTTGAGTAACCACATGTAGAATGGTGTCACCGTCATTGTTTTGGCAGTTTACGTCTGCCCCTTTCTGTACAATTCCAGCAATCACATCAGTTTCAAAGAAAGCAGATGTTTCACAGTACTTCAGCAAGACCAGATTCATTAATACTGTTCTAATCTCATCGTTTGCTATGTCGTAGGGTGTATGTCCATCATGGTTCTGGTATTGCCAGTCAGCACCTTGTTCTAGAAGCCACTGGATACGATGCCGGATGTGTCCTCCAGTAGAACTACAAACCAAGTGTAGAGGGGTATTACCATGTCCATCTGGCATGTTCACATCAATGCCATACTGTTGCAGCTTCCCAAGCACATTCTCTGTGTGGACGTCCTGTAGTGTACAAGCTTTGTGAAAAGCTGTTTGTCCTTGGTCATCTCTTTCATTTACGTCCCCTCCGGAACGGATAAGAGTCTCCAGAACCAGTTCTGTAAAGGGACCAATGGCCATGCATGCTGAGTGAAGAGCTGTTATGCCATCTTTTGCTTTTGCAGCTATATCAGCTCCTTGCTGAAGAAGCATACTAATAATGGTAGGGCTGTGTTGTCCGTTGAAACTGCATATTCTGTGCAGTACTGGTCTTAGTTCTTTGTCAAGTAGTGATAAGTCAGTTTCCTTTGATAGCGCATCTTCTACTTCCTCCATTGTGTACCTGCCGTTCCCAAGACAAGCCTGATTCAACATGCTGTCGGTCATTAGCATCAAGATTTCTCTTTTATCATTCCGATCTTCTATGATGTCAATAGGTGAAAGGTGTTGGCCATTCCCAATGTTGACTTTTGCACCTTGGTTGATCAAAAACTCAATCATGCGAAGTCGGCTATCTCCTTCTGATAGACAAGCCAGATGAAGTGGTGTGTCCCCTCCAATGTCTTGGGAGTCTAATTCAGCATTCTTGGCGCATAATGCCTCTGCCACAGAGCAACCTGGTCCATCGGACCTTTCACAAGCAATATGTAGAGCAGTCTTGCCAGATGCGTTCCTCTCTGAAACATTAGCATCTGAATCCAGCAGTTCTTTAACAACACTCGGGGCAGATTCACCAAATGACATAGAAGCCAGATGCAGTGGGGTATTACTCTCCTTTGCTGTATGTAAGCGGTTTTTGGTCTTGAGAACACTCACATACTCCAGACTGTGAGCAAGGGAGTCCATGCACACAAGATGAAGAGGAGCATAACCTTCTTGGTTTGTCAGTGTTGAATCTGCTCCCATCGCCACCAATAATTCCACCACCATTTCGTTGAACGGAACTTGAACTGCTGAGTGTAGGGGGGTGTTACCATTAGTGTCAACTGTATTTACCTGTAGGCCATGCTGAAGGAGGTATTTCACTACATCCCCATTGTTCATAACGGACACTGCATGATGAAGACAAGACAAGCCATGCTGATCTCTAGCCTGCAAAACTCCGCCATTCGCTAGTATCATCTTTACTGCAGTACAGTTAGAACTTCTACAGGCAACATGAATTGCTGTTTCTTCAAAATGATCTTTCAATCCCACCTTGGTTCCATTGTCTATCAGGAGTTCTACCTCCTCCAAGCAGAATCCTCCGTCCAGTAAGAGATACAAGGGCGTGCGTCCATGCATGTCCAAAGAATTGACGGGGGCCTCGCATTCCAAGAGATCACTGATTACCACTGATCGTGAATCATGACGTTTTTCACACAAGACATGTAAAGGTGTTTTGTTCTCCTTGTTTAAAGATGAAATGTTGGCCCCACTTTCAATGAGAAGTCTGATAATGTCTTTGCTTGTGTCATCCCTTCCACACGCAAGATGCAACATCGTATTTCCATCCTCATCAACAGCTGATACGTCTGCCTGTCTGTCCAAGAGAAACCTAACGACTCCAACAGTTCCTTCACTGCAGGCTGTGTGCAGTGGAGTTCTGGATGAACCTCCACATGCATTGACTGGGAAACCTTCACTGAGCAGCCACTTCAGCAAGTCCAAGTCTTCAGAGCTGGCTAAAACAGCGATCTGTAAAGCCCTCAAAGAAGAACTGCCCTCTTCATAGATTTGGCTCCTAGATGTGACCGTATATTCATCCCAAATCAATCTCACAAGTTCCACTTTGTTGCAACGACATGCCATGAAGAAAGCAGACTCACCATTGTCCACAGTCAGAATATTGGGATCCTTCCTAATCAAGTCACAGACTATGAGAAGATTACCTCCCCAGATTGCATGAGGCAAAAGATCACGGCAGGCAAGGGTGCCATCTATATGGCTTTCGTTGATGACATGATACAATTCCCAGTTTCCAGTTTCACACACAGTTGTCATCATGACAAGCGCTGTGCCTTCAACATTCCAGTTTGTGACATTTTGTGACACTGCAGTGATATCTGTGACACAGTTGGTGTTTCTGAGAGCATTTACTAATGCTACCACATTTTTGGACCAAGAAAGGGGTCCTGTGCTCAAACAACGTTTGACAACGCTTAACATCTGTCCATCACATGCTTTCATAAAACAAACATCACATGGTTTAGTATTAGCGTCCAAAAGGATATCAGCCACTGATGCCTGTTGAAATGAACATGCTGTTTCTAAAGCTTCATGCTTGATGTGTTCAAGTTCTTCAAACCCTGCCATAAAGAGAAGAATTTGAGTGAGAGAAAACGCATGACCATGTTTAGCACATGAGGACGCCATTGCATTGATTGTTTCTACATCATCCAATATTGGATTGTCTTGGAAGAACAGACACACAAACGTCTCATCTTTGAAAACGTCATGCTCTATAAGATCTTTTGTAAAGTCCTGGACTATTCTGTCTTTCAGGTTCTGAAACAAATTACTGTCAATCTTCACTGAATGAGCTCCTTGACTTTCAGTGGCTTCTGTTACAGTATGACAAATCAAATAGCCTAATGGACACCATTGTATGAAGTATACAGGGGCGATCTTTGAGAAGGTGAAACATACAGCATCTCGAACTGCATCATGAGCAAAACAATAATGTTTTTCGCGATACACGACCAAGTCACCATTCAAAGATTGGGCTGCATTTCGCATGTCCTTCAGCTCAGACCCACGGGGCAGGTCCAGGATTCTAGAGAGGATATCAAATGAAGCTGTTAAATCTATTTGCCCATCACTCGGTGATGAGAAGTCTGAGTCCAAAATGTGACTGTATTTCATTATCAAGATCAGCAGAGCAGTCTTGATTGGATCAAGCTTAGCTATGTGTTCACAGAGAACTGCCAGTGGATGTCTGAAGAACATTGCCCATTCTTTCAATGGTAGTTTTTTCTTTGATAAATATTTACAGCAGTCAAAAAACCAGGGGTGATTGCTTGCATTGACAACAGAAGCCAGTATTCTACAATCTTGTGTCAGTCGTTTGAAAGAAGCTAACTTCTCAAGAATAGCAAATTTTTCATAGTCCCTCAACAACAGATCAGGATTTTGTAGTTGCACTCTGTGAGTCTTGTCCAAAAAGTCGTCAAAACTAACTAAGGCATGACTTCTGTCAAGGAAACCATTTTCACTTGTCACAATCAGATATATCCTACCGGTGCTTTTAGCATGAAGCATATTTTGAAGAACTTTATTCCAGCGAATCACCATCTCTGGCATAAACACCCTTGATCCAAAAATGTCATCGATTAAAACCACCATTTTTTCTTTCTGAGAAATATGTGAATATTCTTCAGGGTTGTTGAGTATGAGTGGTGTGTAATTCTTATCTCCAAAAGTAGCCAGTAGATACAGGCCAATGGATGACTTTCCTGATTTGGGTTTGCCCTCCAAGCATACGTAGCCATAGTGAAGGTGTTCTCTTGCAGCTTGTACAGATTTTGTAGGATGAAACGTTGCATGGTTGAAATCTTTCAGGGTGGATTTCGATCGAGCTGTAAAGGAAAGTCACCTAAAATTGATGGGACATCGAAGCACACCAGGTACATTAAACCACAGGCCATCGAGTCTTTGCGAAGATTAAAGTTCAATTCTTGTTGTTTGTTGAGATGATCCCCGACTCGAAACGCCTCACGGTACAATACATCATGATGTATTGTACTGTGAAACATTTCGAGTGGGGGTCCATCTAAAACAAATTTAAACTTTAATCCTCGCAAAGACACGAGGGCCTATGCATTTAACTTGGCTGAATATTATGTGGAGTGTTTTCTCTTTACTGGCTTTTGATTGTGGGCAGTCGGATGAGCGAGGAACCCAACGTAATATATTTTAATTTGAAGCACATTGTTATGATAACAAAGATTCTTTTTAGATATATTATGTAATATTTATACCACACAACATACAATGTTGATAGAAGCGGCAAAACCCTTTCCACATCCATAAGAAATCTCTGGTAAAAGCAGAGTCGACTTTACAATTGTGATTATGTCATGAGTATAATTTGTTTCAGCAGTATTACAGGTGTACGAGAGTGGATTAGCGTCTCTAACGAATATGAACCTGGCAGTGATGACAATCCCACATCAATATCAGCTCTCCCTGGTGTTCTGATATATAAATATGCTCACAACCTGATTTTGTAATAAACGGCTCAAACTAAATCCACTTGCCATGATAAAGTGGCTGTCATATTTGATAGAAGCGTCCTTTTTTATCTTAATTATCGGGTTATCATATAGTTTGATATATGATAAAAGTTACCTTTCATGTTGTCAAGGATTGTATTGTCCACTGCAATAGAAAAGGATGGATTTTACGACACTTCATAGAACCCGTGAAGATCCGGGTTAGAATTGGTTTTCAGCAACCCATGCTTGTCGTAGAAGGCGACTAATGGGATTGGTGACTTGGTTGACAATTTCATTGTACCCAAATTGTGTGGATCGATGATAATGCATCGATGCTTGCTGGGTTGTGTGGTCCAGACTCGATTATTTACAGACCGCCGCCATATAGCTGGAATATTGCTGAGTGCGGCGTTAAACAACAACCAACTACGTTTCATACAATCAAGGTTACTCTCGCGTTTGCTTTTTTACAGAAATCACTGTCCTAATGAGCTGAGTGATGAAACAAGGCCTGAAACAATATGATTTATAAATATGAATATGGTAACTTAAGGGATAACAATATATTCACCTTCTGGTATGAGATCATAATGTAATGAGAATACTCAAAGTCTCCTTTTTCAATGCTGAGGGGCGAGGGTAGACTAGTGGTTAAAGCGTCACGCCGAAGACCCAGGCTCGATTCTCCATATGGGTACATTGCGTGATGCCCTTTTCTGGTGCCCCCCGCCGTGATATTGCTGGAATATTCGAAAGGCGGCGTATTACCATACTTTCTCACTCACTCACTCATTTTTCAGGTCTGAATACTTTACCTTCATGGTGATGGACGTGAATCTCCTTAGCAACACAGGATCCGGGGGAGCTGTCTACCTTTATCATCAACGCTTCGTCTTCTGAGACTCGTCCGCGTGATGATCTGGCAACTTATCAACATAAAAATACATGTTACATAATTTCTTTAAAGTAATTTATTGTCGGAAAGTTTGGGAGCTGTGTTGCAATATAAGCTACATGATCAATGATGTAAATAATTGACACACAATGCGTAAACATATATATGAACGCACATTGTATAAGAATTGTTCATGAGAAAATGCAAATATCACTTGATTTTGAGGTCTGCATTAAACATCATAGACAATATTTGATGAGTATTTCCAACACTTTCAAAAAGTTTCTTTTGTGACGAACGACCAGGGTTGAAAAAAAAGTTATCTCTTCGAAAGGATCATTTACCTAACAAATGAGCCGTCTACGAGTTAAACTTATATTTAAAAAGATATATTTAACCTGTGTGTCTGTCGTGAAACTTAACTAATATATATGCTCGTGATATAGTCACAATTGTTCAATCGACTATGCTTTTAGCAGAGATTTTCTTATGAATGTGGAAAGGATTTTGATTTCGTCGCTTATATTTACAAGAAAATTTACTCTGAGAGAGCATGGTTTTACGCCGATGAAGCATATTGTATATGCAATTGCAGGCATAAACGTTAAACGTCCCAATACGTTAACGTCCCAGCTCTCATTTCGACCAGAGAGGTGGCCTAATGGTTAAAGCGTTCGCTCGTCACACCAAAGACCCGGGTTCGATTCCTCGCATTGGTACAATGTGTGAAGCCCATTTCTGCTGTCCGGTGCTGTGATATTGCTGGAATATTGCTAAAAGCGGCATGAAACCATATTCACGCACTCATTTCGCACGCAGATGTTTTCTTTGACGCGAATGGTGTCCTTGACCTTTGACACTTACCAAGTAATGATTAAGGGCCTGTTCGATTATTGCGAAACTGGTTTTGGTTTCTGAAACTGGTTTCTCCTGTTATAAACGAGTGTCCAGTTTGGGATACATGGTTTCATAGTGAAACTAGTTTCTAGTTTTATAAACGAGTGGATGGTTTCACCATACGGTTTCAAACTGGATACAAAAAAATGTCTCAGCTACTAAATTTATATATGTGGAAGGAATTGGATGACAGCATTGCCGAAGGTAATATTTTTTGTCATTTTATCAGGGAATGAACAAATAATAAAGAGATGAGATGCTTTTGGAGGTAAATATTTGCGTATATGTAATTATACTGTTACAAACAATTATATGGATACAAGTTACATAAAATAGCCATGTTCAATAGACTGGGGTTTTAAATAATATTTTCATAGTTCTCAGTTGATTTTTATCATTGTTTTGGTTACAGAAACTGCTGCTCTATTTTGCCACCAAGATCAGCTGAACTTCGTTTCCGCCATGTTTGTTGCGAGGGAACGCGAAACTAAACTGCGAAACCTGCCTCGGAGATGGTTTCGAAGTTTCAGAACCCAATTTTTGGTTTCGACATAATCGAGTGCCCGGTTTTCCAGAAACCAAAACCGGTTTAGCATAATCGAATAGGCCTTCATATTGGAAACTTGCCCCGTGTCCCGTTTGTAATATGGCATTACTCACCAAGTGTTAAGGTGTGCATGTGTGTGAGTGAGTGTGATTTTACGCCGTTTTTAGCAATATTCCAGCAATATCACGGGAAACACCAGAAATTGGTTTCACACATTCTACCCATGTGGGGAATCGAACCCGTGCTTTCAGCGTGACGAGCGGACGCTTTAACCACTTAGCTACTCCTAGACTATCTGTTGCCCATAACAGTATACAATATCCTTTGAACATCATCTATCCTGGTTTCATCTCATATATTTTATCCATTTGTTTATCAATGTCGGTACAAACCTTCACTTCCCGTTGCGTGATGCTTCATTAGTGAAGCAAGGGCTTGCTGGCTGTACAAAAATAGTAGAAGCATTTTGATTGGTGGAAATAAACCAGAAACATTCTGTAGGATATAAAGACATTCGTAACTACTCGCCTCTTTCCGTGACCTATAAGAAGACTCGTACCCCTATCGTACGCCATTATTGCCAAGAATCGTGGCAAACCAATCAAATCGCGCGTAGTAAAACGCAATTCGAAGCATGAAAATGGCGGCACCGTTGAAGTTTGAAACTTCGCTAAACTATGCAAAGCACAATTTAAACAGAAACTTTGAGCTAAAGGATCAGAAACTTTAAACACTGAAATATTTACAAAGGGAATGACTGTATCGCTGTTTTGCCCACGGGATATGGGATATTCTAGGAACCATGTTTGGAAATTCAGAGTTATCTTTCCTTGGCAATAGTACTAGACTTTTTTTAATCTCCATGCCCGTTTGCGCTTAGACACGGCCCAGTCGTAAACATGGCCACGAGAGGGGTACGAGACGCCATCCGGCTTGCCGGAATGACACGAGTAGTTACGAATGGATATATAGACTCAGCACAAAGATATCGAATAAGAGCATGTTCATTCAGATTTCACTTTTTCCGTTTCATATGGAGTTTACAGTATCAGAATTTGCACTTGATGTAAACATGATCCATTTTGCATTGAAAAATATCAAGCCTTTTAAATATACAATGTACATTGCTTGCATGAAACTGCGATGACAAACAGATAGATTTACCTCGGGAGTGCATTTGTGCGTTCCATATTCATTTGTGTTGAAGATAAGGTTTCTGAAATCAAATATGTATTTATTACCTATAAAAAAATACCACACGACGCTCGCCCACTATCGTGATGACCTAAGAGCTAAAGCATGAGCTATACACATACATGCAGTGAGTGATTCAGAGAGTATTGTTTTACGCCGTTTACAACTTTTGTCTATGCTCCGTGAAGATTCTCGGCTTCAGCTACTCATAATGTCAATCACTAGATTGTTTGGTCCGGATTCGATTTTTTACAGACAGGTGGAAAGTTGCTGAGTGCGGTGTAAACCATCAAAGACATAATAACTATTCACCTATACCCTATTAACTATTGTACATGTAATGACACTTTTTTGAAAGCACACACAATAAGTTAAACACATCTCTGAAATAGTTCTGTTTAGAGGTTTACCGTTTTGGTATGTGCTTGGTGCTGTTGGTTGTTTGGACAGGGACGAGCTTGCAGTGGGCACCTGTTTCGTGGAGGTCGTATCTCCCAGAGATGATGTATTTGTGACATCTAACACACATCTCTCATATTTAATATAAGAGATTCACTGGAGTTTTACAACCCGATAGGAATATTCTGAGGCATTCCGACACCAGAAATGGACTACACATTGTACCCTGAACGTGAACGTTGGGTTTGTCAGGCTAAAGCTTTAACCATACCAATTTAAATGTTTGTAATTTAGATATTATCAAATAAAGGTAGCCGTAGAACGCTCATGGCGTCTAGTTCTCGCCAAATTTTACAAAGGATAATAATAATAATAACTAGGATTGCCTCCTGGGCAATACTGAAGGTCTTCAGACTTCCCCAAACACTCCCCGTGGCTGCCTTTACTTGTACCGTTTCTTTGGACGTCAGCTGGAGCGTCCATTTTAACTCTCGGAGTTACGGGTGTTTGAAGTGTACTTAAGGGCTAGAAAAGCGTCCAAAACGCAGGCAGAACACGTTTTTGACACGAGAGCGGATCGGTGAAATGCAGCCGGGATCGCGGGGTCATGTAGCTTTTAAATAGTTCCCACAGAAGATATAGTTCTCTCTTTAACAGGCCGTAGCTCTAGGGCTGGGACGGATACTCGGGTACTCGAATCCGGGTCGGGTCGGGTACAGCTGGAATCGAGTCCTATTTCAAGGAACCGAGTACCCGGAAAGGGAGAGAACTCAGTAATGACAAGGGCAGGTAACTCTAACCTAGAGCAATATGGACGACACACATGCTAAGTTGAGTGTTTGGGCTCATTTTGAGCTTGATGCAAATGGCAAGAGAACCAAATGCCGACTCTGTGGTATCATGTCTGAAATTGATAGTACAGTCTGCTTATGGTTTTGAGATTTATCAGTGTTAGACCCTGCTGGTGAATTCTACTGAAGTGGTGAAGGTGTGGGACTTGCGCTACTCCTGGGCTTCATCCCTTATGAAGCTGACACGCCAAGATCAGGATATACTTAATCTCATAATTTAACACAGTTACAAATTTGAAGACCCATACGGTTTTTCAATCTAATATGTCAATCTACTGCGGAAGCTGTACAAGGTCAATGCAAAACATCTTGCACTAAAACACAACCTAAACAATAAACGTGTTCATTACATTGTGTATTTGTGTTCATTGCTTATCAAGCTTTTAAGATTACGTGTACTCAGTACATTGAATTGTGTCTTTAGTTTCTATTCTATTTCGATTTCATGAAACACAGCTTTTACATTTGCGTTTAACATGAATACATTGACTATTAAAGAGATTGCAATTAAATGATTGTATGTGTTGGGAATATCAATTAAAACTAAGGAATTAACATTCTGATTTGCAAATACAATGTTCGACTAGTTATCATTACAATAAGAAGAAAGATGATCAGAAATAGAAGCAGAACTCACGTAACATAAACATTTTATAGTTTAACAAATAATAATCAGCATACAGTTATTCCAATGAAGATAGATACAATTTTAGAATATCGATTTAACAATACATGTAGTTTTGTTTTTCATTTAATAGGGAAACTGTAATGCAACTGAGTTGCGCAACAGAGCAAAATGACCAGTCTTCCCAGATGCGAGCCAAGCATTTTGCTATATTGCTTAACTCAGTTGCATTACAGTTTGCCTGTCTGTATATCTCCTACAGAATTCTCCAGTCAGTAAATACATCAATCAAATTGTATTCTATGCAAGTTTACATAAAGTCTGCATGTAAAACATTGTAGGTTCAGTTAGAATATCACACATGAACGTAGTTGTCTACTGGCTGAATGAATAACTGGTCTTTTTCATTATTAACGTAACACACATTTTTGGCATTGTCCAGTTAATGGAGGTTATTATCAACGACGGTAATTTATCTGCGCATGAGCAGTGAGTAGTCAAATCACAGTAACAGCGGGAATGAAAAGTTCTGGGTTTTAACAAATGTTCTGTGTTTTAAGTAACAATGTAAGTAATGGTGTTACTCTTTATATTAGTTATAAACAGACGTAAATCAAATAGCCTAAGATCAGTTTCAATGTCTCATTGCCATCCTGTGAGGTTTTCTGTTATAATATCTGTCAGATCGTGATTGAAAATTCAGAAAGTTGACTGAAGCTATGTATTCCTTACATTTCCGGGTACTCGATTCCGATTCGGGTAAGTACATGCGGGTACTCGATTCCAATTTTTCCTACCCGTCCCAGCCCTACGTAGCTCCGCTGTCCTTGGGTCTACGGTCCAAACGAATAGTGTTCTGGAATCGCCACGATCCTAGCTATCTGACGCATAGACGTATGTGCATATACTGCACTTGTGAAACAACCATAGATATATGTGTGTATATAGTGCATTTGTTAAACACCCATTCAAAAATTTGAAATAAAACTCATATCTGACTCTGTACTTACAATGTTTATTAATGCAAACTTGTTCTCGACGCTGTATGGCTAGGATAATGCCGATGTAACGAAAAGGCCAATTCAAGGGGAACTCTTTCTTTGGGCATTGGATGACGTTCCAGCTCAGATTTGACAGCTCCTTGTCATTGTCAATTACATCTGTCGTTGAAATTCACATCGTCTCCCATATCTGCACGTGGACCACGCTTTGCAGTGGTAGTCTCTTTATAGGAGATATGTTCTCCCGCGTGAGAGCTCATCTGATAGTGAACAACCTGAAGGAAGTTTATCTCTATCATAAATTGTAACTGTGTAATGTGACTAACAAATTGCCTGCTTTTAAATTTAGTGCTATGACTTTTTCTGTTTTTAAATGAATAAATGTTTTTTAAATAAAACTCATTTTGACTCTGTACTTACAATGTCTATCAATGCAGACTTGTTCTCGTCACTATATGGCTGGAATAATGCCGATGTGACGTAAAGCCCAACTCAACTAAACTCAACCATTCAAAAATTACTGTGGTGTGGTTAAAGGCCGGGGTTCAAACCTGAGATTAATTTGGCATTGATTCAAAATTCAAATTCACAAACTGCAGAAAAACAAACAGGAAGACACAGTCAAACAAAGCAAAATAATACAGCAATATCTACAGACATATACTAAAAGAGATTACTGGTAAATATTGTAGATTTTGTTGTGGTCAAAAAGTCAAGCGTATTCCTGTCACAGTCAGGCTGGTAATCAAACTGCTGGAGAGATCACATCCTGGCAATTCCAGAACACTAATTGTTTTGACTGTAGACCTAAGAACAACGGAGTTACGGCCTGTGAAAGAGGGAACTATTTCTGTGGGCACTAGAAAACCAGGAAGCGGTGATAGTTGCTAGATTCCTCCAGCTATCTCACAACTGTCACAACTGACAAAATGCGAAATCCTAATGTCCCTCCCTGTTTGTGGCGTAATTGTGGCGTAATTATCGACTTTTACATAATAATAATGTTAAGCAAAACTGTTCCACATTTCATTATCTAATTATTGACAATGATATCCATTGTTTTTGTAGAGCTGTGAACCCTATAAAAATGCGTTTTGCCAAAATTGACCAACTTTCCAAGGGCAATACCTCCGATACTATTCAAGATATCGACATGCCTTGAACAAACTAAGTAGTCCGGAGTGTGGGCTTTAAAACGATACATAGAACACTATTGTACTATTTGCCGTTCAGGAGCAGAAGATTGTTAAACACAGGCACCGTAAAAAAGGTGCGGAAATGTGAAAAATCGCGAAGGTTGTGTTTGTGTCGTGATGGTGACGTAATTATTGATTTTTACATAACCATGATGTGAAGCAAAAATGTTTCCCATTTAATTACCTACAGGTTGGTACTTCGGAAAATGGAATCCATTGATTTTTCGCAGAGTTGTGACCTTTTTTATAACCCTATGAAAATGCGTCTTAGAAAAATTGACCAAATTCCAAAGGTGATAACTCTTAAACTATTCTAGATATCGATATGCCTTGAAGGGTTCTAGTAGTCCGGAGTGTGGGCTTTAAAATGATATATCGAACACGATTGTACTATATGCCGTTCTGGAGAAGAAGATTTTCAAACACAGGCACCGTCAAAACGTGAAAACGTGTTGAATCGTCGGGGAATGGTGTTGTCTACATTGAGTGAACATTTGGTCAATTTATCTCTTATAGTTTTTGAGATATTGAGGTTGAAAGATTTCGACATTTTGGGTTATATGCCCTTAGCGGAAGCCGGAATTCGGGATTTTTTCGACTATGTATCAACTTCAGCATACAGGCTATCACCCCTGAAAGTTTCACTTTTCGGCCTAGCGGTAAGGTCAGGAGAGCTGTCACAAAATTTGTACAAATAATAATAATAAGAAGAAGAATATTCGGATAATAACAGTAGGTCTTCCAGACTTTCGTCTGAAGACCTAATAATCCATTTGTAAAGCGCCTAATATCCACCTTACAGATGCTCAGTGGCGCTAATACAGTGATAAAACTGAAAATATATACTTAAAACAGAGAATGATTGTCTACTGGTACACAGATAGAAATAGGTGAGCCTTAAGCTGTGATTTAATGGTGTCTTTGGTGGTTGTATTTCTGG